CAATGGAGCACTAAAGTCTCCCACTATTATTGTGTGGGAGTCCAAGTCTCTTTGTAGGTCATTAAGAACTTGCTTTATGTATCTGAGTGCTCCTGTATTGGGTGTGTTTATAATTAGGATCGTTAGCTCTTCTTGTTGCATTGATCCTTTTACTGTTATATAATGTCCTTATTTGTCTCTTTTGATCTCTGTTGGCTTAAAGTCCATTTTATCAGAGACTAGGATTGCAACTCCTGCTTTTTTTTTTTTTTTTTTTTGCTCTCCATTCGCTTGGTAAATCTTCCTCCATCCCTTTATGTTGAGCCTATGTGTGTCCTTACACATGAGATGGGTAGATGGGTTTCCTGAATACAGCACACTGATGGTTCTTGACATTTTATCCAATTTGCCAGTCTGTGACTTTGATTGGGGCATTTAGCCCATTTACATTTAGGTTTAATATTGTTATGTGTGAATTTGAACCTGCCATTTTGATGCTAGCTGGATGTTTTGCCTGTTAGTTGATGTGTTTTCTTCATTGTGTTGGTCTTTACCATTTGGTATGCTTTTGGAGTGGCTGGTACTGGTTATTCCTTTCCTTGTTTAATGCTTCTTTCAGGAGCTCTTGTAAGGCAGGCCTGGTGGTGTTAAAAATCACTGAGCAATTGCTTATTTGTAAAGGATTTTATTTCTCCTTCACTTATGAAGCTTAATTTGGCTGGATATGAAATTCTAGGTTGAAAGTTCTTTTCTTTGAATATGTTGAATATTGCCTCCCCCCCATCACCCCTTCTGGCTTGTAGGGTTTCTGCTGAGAGATCTACTATGAGTTTGATGGGCTTCCCTTTGTGGGTAACCTGACCTTTCTCTCTGGCTGCCCTTAGCATTTTTTCCTTCATTTCAACTCTGGTGAATCTGACAATTACATGCTTTGGGACTGCTCTTCTTGAGGAATATGTTTGTGGTGTGTTCTATATTTCCTGGATTTGAATGATGGCCTGCCTTGCTAGGTTGGGGAGGATCTCCTGGATAATATCCTGAAGAGTGTTTTCCAGCTTGGATTCATTTTCTCCATCACATTCACGTACACCTATCAAATATAGATTAGGTCTTTTCACATAATACCATATTTCTTGGAGGCTTTGTTCATTTCTTTTTACTCTTTTTCTCTAATCTTGCCTTCTCATTTTATTTCATTGATTTGATCTTCTATCTCTGATATCCTTTCTTCTGCT